AAGGTCTCGACAGAGGAAACTTTTAGTCATTTCTTAATATCGAGAAATGCGATCTCGTTGAGCAAAGATTGAGTCTATCTCGATCAATAAAAACAATTCAACTAAGATGGGTGGATTCTTGCTATGCGATTGAAGGCGCTTTGCTTCCGCAATTTTTTAGTTGAACCCACCCGAGCATATAAAGCCTGTAGCAATATCAAATGGGCGACTAAGCGTGGAGGCGTTTTTTAGAATAAAGTTATAATTTCGCTTTTGTCTATCAAAAGCTTCAGTGGTTATCAGATGGACGAGGGAGTCAAACTTTTTACAATCTTGCGAAGGACAATCAGATAAATTACCATCAAACAGGTTCCCTAGTATTGACAATAGGGATCCAAACTTCCCCATGAGGTCATTACAGTCCAGTAATGTAGATAAATCAAACTGCTTAGACTTGACTATGACCTCTGCTTCCTATTTTGTGTTAACTCTAACCGTAACGCCCACGGTCAATGCTCTTACTCCGGCAGATAAACTTTATGCCACTCGTAATTCCTCCATGATAATTTCACCACCCTTTAGCTCCACACCTAATCATTCTAGTTTTTTTTGCCTCCAAATATGCCTTCCTCTAGGATAATATTTTACTCGAAATTAGGCTGCCGTTTAACTAAGTAGTTTTTAAAGCCGAATTACGTGCATATTTAATTTCGGAAAATGTAAAGTCCATGTAATCCGTCTCCTTCCCAAACAAACTTCCTCAATGCGAAATACACTGGATAACTTGCATTTCTTTTAACCTGCATCTATGCATGAATTTATGCTATTTTTTCCGTCAACGGTGACCGAGGACTGTTTAGAAGACTTTGTACAGTGCAGATATGTCGGAACAGAATCATACAGGGTGTCCCAAAAAAATGTATACACATTTTAACTAATTGTAAACTTGGTGTTAATTGTCATTTTATTATTTCAAAAATGTAAAACTTTTTACAAGTACCATTTTATTGTTTTGGCTCTGCAGGCTCTCAAACTGACGCACATTTAATCCAGACACGGCGTACAACGCGAAGCAATGGAATTGTACACACCAAGAAAGAATTCCAATCGTATTTGGGAGCATTCATGTTCAATAGCTTCTATCCTTCTCAATCATTTCAAATACAGTCAAAATGCAGTTGAGAAATAATAAAATGATACCTACAAATACTTTTACGTTTTTGAAATGAGAAAATTACGATAAACATCAAGGCTACAATTGCTCAAAATTTGTATACATTTTTTGGGACACCCTGTAGTGAGAATTTCATTGACCTGCTACTCGGTGGTGGCAAATCACTTACTAGTATTTTGTTAAACCTTTTCTGAGGGTAAGCGTGAATCAAAAATCTCTCAAGCATCCAGTTCCTTAACTTCTTACTTTATGTGTCTATTCGCGATATGGCTGTGGGTATAATCGCGCGGACGCTGAATGGTATGTACTCAACAAAGCAGCAAGAATTAAATGTCCAGTAAGTCTGATGCAGTACAGCAGATCAGGAAGCAGTGTGGAATGCCTACTCGCCTTACTTGCTGATGACACAGTGGACTAAAGCGAATTGGAACAGATAATTTTTAGCCATAGCAATCTTACTGTGTTCGTTAATGTCGAGATCGTCAAGTCGTACTCAAAGGGCAGATACTGGAAATGAGTCGTTTATTGGCAAATATTGAAGTTATCTTGGGATTTGGACATGTCCATTCACAAAGCCAAATTATGATGGAATTTAGGGAGGGTATAGAATGACTATAAAGGCCTTTGTAGCTAAAATAATCTTTTCTCTAACCTGCAAGTTGAGAATATTCGGTCATAGGGGTTTCAGTAGAAGGTTACCAGGATGTGTTACCTGCAACTGTATGAGGCGGCCACAATTTTTTTCCCAATGGTAATTTGACCTATATTCTACAAAACACACAGGTAACTGGCTGAAAAACAATTCTTAGTCATGCCTATCCGGCATTAGGGTTTCAGCGCCCGTGCTAAGTTTCTTAGGCAAGGCACATATGCAATTCAAAATGAGGAAAACATAGTTCTAGCGAACGAATACGAAAAGCAGCCGGAGTCTCTCAGTGGATGCTCCAGCTAGGCAGGAACATTTGCTCAGTGCTGACGCTAGTGCAGATCTTAAAATTTTAGGTATCCTGAACGTTTGCCCATAGAAATGTTGAGTTCAAATCACTGCCAAGTAACACGAAGGCCCCTTCCTTATTCGGAAACGTTTTAGTATCTCAACCCCACAAAAAGGAGTTTCTACTATACATGGCTTTTGGTTGCCGAAATATACTGCTGTTCTGGTCTTCTTGTCTGGTCTACACCAAAAACGGCCCTGATAAACATGAAAATGTGTAGGTGAAATTGTCGCCGTCACTGCACATGTATTTAAGGGGCTATAAATCTCGAACTTTACGTAGAGACTATTAGCTACAAACCTCATCGGATCAACAAGATTACCAACAAATCAATCCTCGCACACTTGATCGATATGAAACACCAAGTTGACACGAAAGAGGCCTTTCATGTCATATATCAGGTTCTGACACACTACTCTAAAGACCTGCGCAAACGGGTGTTCGCCACAGCCAAAGCAGTAGCAATCCGTTTAGCAAAGCCCGCTCTCTGCCGTCAAAAGATGCCGGTAGACGCAGTCTGTCTATCCTGGCCAACCACAACAGTGAATATCGTGCCGCCAGAACAGACGTCGTCCGCAACTACGCACGCCGACTGTGAGAACATCCCTTTATCCCCCTCTTCCTTGCTCGCCGGATCCAACGCCCCCAGCAGGCTGGAACCCACATGCTTGAGACGAGGGAATACCACGATGACTAATCACACCCCCACTCCCTACCCCGAGAACCATTTAAACACTACACCACATATAACTGACCATTTTAGGCCTTGCATTATACTGGCCCGATGATGAATTGCCAAAGACATATGTTTGCCAACATGACTTTTCAATCGGAAAATGGGAATATTTGCAGAAATCAGGTTATGTTGACGCAGATCGGTAATTGGCATGCTGTCGAATTTCTTCCTTTCATATTTTTACCCTCCGAAAAGTGCAAGACACGTTTGTGCTCACGAGCGAAACAAGCAACACCCACGCAGCCATTTAAAAACGCACGGAATCGCGGCATTTGTCGTCTGTGTGGAACTAAGAGCAATCAAGAATACTGTGTGTTGTCTGTGTGGATTAACTTTTTCACATACCGCAGTGTGTTAAGGTTATGGGTAAAACC